AGCAGATAGAAGAATCCAGCTGAACAAATTAGCAAAAATATGAAACAATACAACTCTTACTCATTTTTATTTTGGAAAACAGTTTTGAGCTGGGCATGGTGGTACACACAAGCACCTGGGAGGCTGAGACAGGAGGATTGTTACAATTTCGAGGCCAGCCTGGGCTATATAATGAGTTCAAGGCCATCCAGTTCAGGATCAACAGCAAGATTCAGTCTCAGAAAACAGTTTCAATAAAATGTTATTTATGTTAACATATAGTTTATTTTAAAATGAATTAATATTTAAAACATTCCTGCATTTATTTTTTAGGTTTTTCTGAGACAGGGTCTAGCTATGTAGTTCAGGCTGGCCTCGACCTCCTGATGATCCTCCTACCTCGTCCTGAGTGCTGGGATGACAGGCGTGGACTACTATGCCCAGCTAATTTTAGTTTTTAACATAGGGAATGTTACAGGTATGCCCCACATAACCAAAAGCTATATGGGATCTTCAATAATCTTTAAGAGAACAGAAAACGTATGTGGTCTTTTGTTCTTTTGTGACTTGTTGCTTCTTCTAATCAACGTAATGTTTCAAAGTTCATCTACCCACTTCTCACTACTCTTTTGAGACAGGGTCTTGCTATGTGGTTCAGGCTGGTCTCGAACTATGCAGGCTAGGCTGGTCTCAAACTTGTGGCAATCTTCCTGCCTCAGCCTCCTGAGTGCTGGACTACAGGTGTGTGCCACAACACCCACCTTGTACTTCTTTGTATGGATAAAGTAATACTTCACCATATTAGTATGCAAATGTTGCTTTTTCTGTTTGTTCTGCATTATTTCCATGTTTTGGCTGTTGAATAATGGTATAAATGCTCATTTGTAAGTTTTTGTGTGAACATCTGTTTCCCTTTCTCTTGGGTATATATTTAGATGAGGGCCTTGCTGGGTCAGAACGTAATCTATATTTAATCATCTGAGGAACTGCCAGACTGCTTCCCACAGAGCTGTACCATTTCACATACTTAGCAGTGTATGAGGGTTTCAGTTTTCCCACATCCTTGTCAACACTTACTTTACTACTTTTTGTTGTTGTTTTGGGTGGTACTGGGGATCAAACCTGGGGCGCCCCACCATTGAGCTATCGCTAAGTTACCTGGGCAGGGCTCTAACTTGCAATCCTCCCACCTCAACCTCTCACGCAGCTGGGAATACAGGTATGTACCAGTGTCCAGCTCATTTTACTTGATTCTAACCATCCTAGTGAATGTGAGGCAGCTTTTCATGTGGTTTTATTTTTTCTTAATTATTTTGGAGACAGGGTCTCGCTAGTTATGTAGTTCCGGCTGGCCTTGAACTCACTATGTAGGGTCCAGCCTGGCCTTAAACTTGCAGCAATCCTCCTGCTTCAGCCTTCCAAGTGTTGCATTATAGGTGTCCACCACCACCCCTGGCTTTCATGTGGTTTTAATCAGCATTTTTCTAATGACTGATGCCACGTATTTTTTCATGTGCTTATTAGCCATTTGCTTATCTTCAGTGGAATAATGCCCATTTCTCCAGATAGACATTTTACTGTGCCTTAATTGGGATGTCTTATTACAGTACTGACTTTAATGATTCTTCATGTATTTATTACTAGATCCTGACCAGATATAAGATCTATAAATGTTTTCTTACAATCTATGGGTTGTTTTTGCATTTTATTGGTGGCAAACATTAATGCTCTTAAATTTCAAATTCTGATGATGTCCAATGTATTTTGTGGCTTGTGCTTTTGGTGTTACAGCTAAGAACTTTTTGCCATGGTATTTGATTACTGCTGCTCTATAGTAAGTTCTGCAGTCAGGAAGTGTGTCCTGCTTTGCTTTTTCAAGTTTGTTTGGCTGTTCTGCATCCCCTGAAATTCTGTGTGAATTTTAGACTCGGCTTGTCAAGTTCTACAAACACACCAGCTGGGATTCTGATAGGGATTATGCTTAATCTGGGGTATCACTTTGGGGAGTGCTCTACCCTGATCCATGAACATGCGATGCCACTCCATTTGTTTAGACCTTTCTTGAAATGTTTCAGTTTTCACAGCATCAATTCTGAATTTCTTTGTGAAAATTATCTCCCTCCCTCTTCCTTTTTTGGTGCTAGTGTTTGAACTCAGGGGCTCGTGTGTTCAAATAGGGGTTATGTCGCTAGTGCTATTCCTACTTCTTTTCTTTCTTTTTTTTGGAGATGGGGGTCTTGCTATGGTCCAGGCTTGACTCAGACTCACAATTCTCCATCTCAGCCGGCCTTGGGATTACAGGTGTCCTGCGCCATGCCCAGCTCCCATTTTTTTTCAGTGCTGCTGTAAGTGGAAGAAATGATTTCTTTTGAGACAGGGTCTCACCATGCAGCCCAGGCCAGCCTGAGCCCACAATGACCTGACTGGTCATCTGGGATTATAGGCGTGCACTACCATGCCCTGCTAGGTGGAATGGTATTTGAAATTTCATTTTTGGATGGCTCACCTCAAGTGTCTAGAAATACTACTGATTTCTGTATATAAATCCTCTACCCTAATTATGTTTTCCTGAGGATTTTCTGTAGCCACACTCATGTAATCTGCAGACAGCTTGTTTCTTCCTTTCTCACCCTGATGCTTTTTATTCCCCTTGTCTGCCCACTCCCGTGGATGCCACTTTCAGGACAATGCTGGCTAGAACCAAAGTGGGCAAACAGCCTGTCTTGCTCCGAGTCTTAGGGGAAAACATCTACTCTGTCACCATCAACTATGATATCTGTCAGTTTTTCACTTATGGTCTTAATTATGTTGAGGTTATTTCTTCCTATTAGTTTACTAATGTTTTGTTTTTTACTGATACACTTATTTTCACATCTTATATCAACTTTGCATTCCTAGAAAATTACTGCTCATGGTGAAAACTCTTTCTATATAGTGCTACATTCAGTTTAGTTGTATGTTGCTGCAGACCTGTGTGTAAACATTCACAAGAGGTAATGGTTTGTAAGTAGCTTTGTATGGATGGATCATATAAAATATGTTCTCAGTGTCTGGCCTCTTCCACTTGGTGGGCTTTCAATATTCACCCATGCTGTAGCATGAGTCAGTACTCTATTCTTTTTTTATGGCTGAAAAACAATGTGTGGATATATATTCTGTTTATCCATTCACAAGCTGATGGATATTTGGGCTGTTCTCACTTTTTGGCTGTAATGCTATGAACATTCCTGTACAGTACTTGCATGAGCACGCTTTTAATTCTCTGGAGTATATATCCAAGAGTGGAATTGCTGGGTCACACAGTAGCCGTTAAACATGTTGAGGAGCTGCCAAACTGCTCCAGAGCCATTTTCTGTTACCACCAAAGAGCAGGGGGCTCCACTTTCTCTACATTCTCCATCCACACTCGCTCTGGTTTTCTGTTAGAGCAGTTCACAGGGGTGTAAGGCAGTGCCTGCTGGTGGACCTCTTTTTATGTGCTTATTGGCCACATGTCAATCCTCCTTGGAAAAATACCTTTCTCAACCTGTTGTCATTTTAAGATTAGATTATTTGCTTATTATATCACTGCAAATTCTAAGACATGAAGTTTGATATTTTTGTTTTAAGTCTGTGATACATTTTAAATTAATTTTGGTCTATGGTGTACAGATCTCCTCAGTTTTTTAAAAAGCCTATTAATTCCTTAAAGCTCATTAGTAACAAGTTATCCCAATTAAGGACAAGAAATGAAAAGGATGTAGAAACTCCTAAGGTTCTGTAATGAGTCAGGAACCAACAGGAATTTACTTCTAAATGCTCGTCTTTGACGGTAACTCTTAACGGCGCTGCAATGTGCACGTGAGGGTGGGGAGGGGGCGTGGGCTACGAAATCATCACTGAGAGAAGGACTGAAGGAGGTAAGAGTTACTACCTTTCTCTCAAGTGCATCTGATTTATTAAAATTTAGAATTCTGCAGCCTGGGGATGGAGTCTGGTGGTAGAGCACTTGCCTAGCATGTCTGAGGCCTTGTCTCTGACTCCCAGGACAGCAAAATAAATAAATAAATAAATAAATTTAGAACACACTGGCTATTACATTGTTTCCAAATATATTTTAAGTGAATCTTGCCTTTTTTTTTTTTTTTTAGTGTGTTGGGCATTGAACCCAAGATCTTTCTTTTCTTTTCTAAGAAAGAATCTTGAGCTGGGCATGGTGGCGCACTCTTGTAATCCCAGCGCTCAGGACGCTGATGCAGGAGGAGGATCGTTGTGAGTCTGAGACCAGCCTGGGCTACAAAGTGAGCTCAAGGCCAGCCTGAACTGCACAGCAAGACCCTGTCTCAAAAAGACAGAAAGAACCCTGTTCTGTTGTCCATGCTGGTCTTGAACTTGCGATTTCGACAGATCTGCCACTTTAGCCTCCCCATCAACTTGAACCACAGGTGAGTACCACAGCGCCTGGCTCTGAATAAGGCAAAGCAGGATAAGGCAGCTCCTGACTAACTCAGTTTCATAAAAGATCAGAAACTGTGTTTGCCTCATCTGTAAATTGGTTAGAATTATTTATAATCTTTCTGAAGTTCCCCTAAAGAGCATGGGTGCCAGGGAATACACTTTTTATAGTAACGAGTGTCAAAAAATTAAATTCAAAATATAGTGGTAATGGGTCTAATTTTAATTTTTTTTTTTTTAAGTATTTTAGTGTTTTGAGAGTCTCACTTTGTAGTTCAGGCTGGCCTAGAACTCATGCCAATCCTCCTGTCTCAGCACTCTGAGTGCTGGGATTACAGGTGTGTGCTACCACGCCCAGCTAAAGGTCTTATTTTTTTTTAGCCTATAAAGATTTCAACATCTATCCCTCTCTTTATGTCTTTCAAGTATGTACACATGTGTGCACATGCACACGTGATAATTACCCTTAAAAGAAGATCCAAATGTTATGCAAATCCACAAGTTATACATGAATATCCCTTTTGAATTCAACATAGAGGTCACAGCTTTACAAAATTTCAAATGACGGAATGCCAGAAGGTACTCACAGGAGAGAGTTTCTGAATAAGGTCATGAGCGACATGGACAAGGTTCTTGTCTTCATGAAGACATTTCTGAAACTTTTTGCTTTCCTCCTCTTCCAGAAGATCAAAATCAATCGCAGCATCCAGTAAGGCCTGAATTAACCCCTTCCAGGATTTTAGGGCTGGAACCTGAGGTGCAACTGCAGCACTGATGCCTGTTCCAATGACCAGCACAAGTTCCCGAGGCTTCTTAGTTTTTAAGCTTGGAAGGAGCTTCCTGAAAAAGCAAAACATAAGAGGACTGAGATATCCAATGGACATGAGGCACAGGGCAAGACTCTCTGAGTATGGGTCTAGTCAGCTATCACCATATACAGGTCCTCAGCTACAACTTTAATGAATGCAAAGATGACAAATACCAATTTCGGACACTTCTCCAAGGTAACTTAAACAAAAGACCAGAATATTGTGCCAGAGCTTGCTGAAAAAAACAAAGAAAACTATTATTTCACAAATCCTAAAAAGCAATCTTAAAATCAACTTTTTCCTTCATAATCTTCTCAACCTAAGAAAATCCACTAATAATAGGAAAAGGTCCACATGTACCATTACAGCTCAGCTTAGCTCGGCCAACTAATTTTAAACCAATATTAAATGTCAAATGAGTGTGTTTGACTCGTTATTCTAGAAACAGAAAAGATCATCCTTGCAAATTTAGTTCCTGCTGTTGACAAATGTAAAACAGAAGATGAAAGAAAATCAATAAAAATTCAACTCCAAACTTTACAAACATTTTAAAGATAAAACTGAGCATGCGATAGCCAAATATGAGGACAAATTTGTTCTCAGTTTTGTTCTAGGTATCTTCAGGGAAAAACAAAGAAAGTGAGGGAGGGTTGGGGAGGGAGAGGGGAGGAGAGGGGAGGGCAGGGGAGAGGAGGAGAGGAGGAGAGGAGAGGCAGGAGGGGAAGGGAGGAGAGGAGGGGAGAGGGGGAGGAGAGGTGGGGAGAGGGGAAGAGACAGCAGGAGGGGAGGGGAGGGACAAGGAGAAAGGGAGGAAGGCAGGAAGAAAGAAAAGAGAGGAAGAAGGGAAGACATTAGAATCCTGAAACCTAAAGTATATGACAAAAAGCGAAAATATTCCTTTCTTACCATGATAAGCAGATCTCTGTTCGGCAGCACATATAGGAAATAGCATGAGTACAAGCCTTTGTTTCTAGAATCTAAGAGTGGGGAACATAAAGAAAAACCTGTACCCATGGTTCCTCTCTCCCATTTTGATTCCAGAGACTATATTAAAATCCCTGTTTGAAGTAGGTTTCTTCACTTTAATTTTTGCTGATGGCATGCTTTTTTCCAAGAGACTGCCTTTGCCAAAACCTTTTTTTTTCCAAATAAACAAATAGAAAGAGGATCAACATTTTGGCATAACCCAAACAGTACTCTGAAGCCTTATGAAACCTGGTTTTAGGGAAACAACCTCTAGAAATCTGTCCTTACCCCCAGCTCCTGCATTTAATCATTCAATAAGCAAGAAAATTCTGTAAGTACCAAACACTACGGTGAGCACCAGATGTATGAATGGACACAACAGAGTCTCTGGTCTTACGTTTAGTCCACCAGAAAAGACTGACAATTAATAGAAGCAAAGACAAAATGTTTGGTTTCAGAGGAATCAAGATAGTGAATCATATACAAATACACATACCCAAATCTAACTCAGGGCTTTACCCATGCTAGACAAGTGCTCTATCAAGGACCTACATTCCTAACCCTGAGATTTTTTTTTAACTATGTACAGATGCTTGAACTATTTTTCTTAATTAAGACTTCCAGCTAAAAGACAATATTTAACAGTGTGCTGGTGAACACCTATAATTCCAACTACTTGTGTCCAGCGTGGGAGGAGGGAAGTAAGGTCTTCTTACCAATCTCAGACTTCCCCAACTACCTGCACTCAGGGTAAGTCTCCCAGACACTAGTGTAGTCAGCCTAGTCCCTATCCTCAAGCCCAGTCAGTCAGGAAATAGGAGGATTCCTGTCTTGGGAAAATGGCCAATATGATAGAAAGACAGCTTCTTTTTTTGGTGTTTTTGAGACGGGATTCACTATGCAGTTCAGGCTGGCCTTGAACTCAATCCTCAAGCCTCAGCCTTCTGACTGCTGGGATTACAGGCGTGTACCAACCACCACACCTGGCAAAACAGCTTTCTTGGCAGCCCTAGGGAAGCCCTTCAGCTGCCAAGCCTGTTATGTACACATAGACTCCCCACCCTGTTTCTCTGTTCGCTCTTAAATATGAGCAGACAAACAAGGTGACTTTACATCTGTGGAAGGCTCCCATCCTGACAAACCAAAACAAAGTAGCAGGGAGAGAGGAATTTGGTGGAAACAAGACAATATGAGAAAGAAGAATTTGAGAGAAAAAATATCTTCACACAGATTTAAAAACTTGCAGCTACAAGGAAACAGAAAGTCTTTCAAAAATTAAAAAACCTGCAAGATAAAACTGAGAAAATCTCTAAGAAAGTGGAAAAAACAAACTGGGTGTGATGGCCCAAGCTTATAATCCTAGAATTCATGAGGCTGAAGCAGGGAAATCATGAGTTCTGGGCTACATGTAAGTGAGTTCAAGGCCAGCCTGGACTACACAGCAAGTCCCTGTTCCAAAAATCCAAACCAGGCTGGGTGTGGTGGCATGCCTGTAATTCTAGTACTCAGGAAGCTGAGGCAGGAGGATCGCTGCAAATTTGAGGCCCGCAAAAACAAAACAAACAAAAAAGACAACGAAACAAACACAGAAAATGAGGTGGAAAAAACAATTTTTAAAAATGTAAGGAAACTAATGACCTAATCCAGAAGATCCAACGGAACTCTAAAATAACAAGAGCTCTACCAAGACAGAGAAAAGATTTTAACTGAAAGTCTGCATGTAGAGATGTATGCCTATGATCTGAGGTCTCTGGGAAACTGAGGAAGATCCCAGATTTAAGTCCAGCATGGGTAACTGGCAGCTCAGTGAGAGCGTGTCTCAAAATATAAAATAAAAAAGGGCCAGGGATGTAGAAAAAAGGCTCTGGGCTCGATCTCCAGTGCCACAAAAAAAAAAAAGTGTACATGACAATTTCCTTAAAGTTGACTTACAAGTAACTAGCTTGAGTTACCCAGTCTAGATTTTATATAAAGATACATCGTTGCAAAATTTCAGGTAACAGGGAATGAATGATCTTTAAAAAAAAAATGCTCTTTACAAGCTTCTAATGAGCAAAGAAAAAAGATCATATAATACAAAGAACTGGGAATCAAAATGGAGTGAGTGGCTTTTTGCCATGAATACTTAGACGCCAGCAGAGAATAAGCGATACCTTCAAAACTCTAAGAAAAGTGATTTGCAACCTAAAATTCTGTATCAGCCATACCCTCCAAAAAAGCAAGCATATGATAAAGACTATTACTATCTCTAAAAATTTTCTCCACCCTTGTAAGGACAAGGGTGCATCACCAAAACGAAGGGGTACACAAAAAGAGAAGACATGAGCTACCAATCCGAGAGCGATGCAAAGGACTTCTCGGGGATGGGAAAGGGAAACAGCAATACAGTACCAGCAAGGCAGCGGGCCTGGAAAAACTGTCCAGAGTGCAGCTGAGTTCACAGGAAGAAGCTATGAAACCAATTAAACCAGCAAGTTATTTATGTCTTTCAGCACATCTAGGAGACTTCTTTTTCTGTCACAGTGTTTGATAATAAAGGGAAATGTTATACAGAAAGCAAAACAAACAAAAGAATGAGAAGCAGGAAACAAGGGCAAGAAAGGAAATATAATCATAACACATTATCAGGCTTAGCAACAAATGCTACTTAGACAGTTTAATAATGTAAATATGAAAAGCTGGTTGAATCAAAAACACTGAAACACGTACTGGGCAGGGGAAGTATGTGGACCAGCAATATGGGGGACAAACCATGAGAACAAACTAAATCCTTCCCTTGTTTGAACAAAACAAGACAAAACAAAACCCTCACTAAAACAGCAGTTTACACAAGGTGTTTAGTATACAGATGTCGATATCAGAATAAAAAGCTAAAAAGCTGAAATTGATCAGCTCCGAGCGGTAGGGCATTAGGAACATTGAATTACTGACTTAGAACTATACTTGTATTACCCTGATAAATAATTCAGAAGTAGAAAATTAATTTTTAAATGAAGGTCAATATTGATTAGCAAAAAAAACATCAGAATATAGGGTAAGTTCAGACTTTTCTTGACTTCTCACTAAGGCCAGTTTACTCTGTTTCTCTGATTCCCTTCTCGTTTACCTGGGCTTTTTGGTGGGGGGTGCGCCATCACTGAAGAATCCAAAAATCTTGTCTATATCAGAGGCCTGGCTCCCTGTAGAAGCCATCCAGTTTCTAAAATAGATTAAACACCATGTACCACAATTAGATCTGCAAATATACCATTTAAAATAGCACATACATTAAACAGTGTTAATATGTTATATATCCTTCAAAGGTATCCCTTGTGCAATGGAAATCCATTAATTAATAAGCATTCCAAACTTAAGGAATTAAATGTGTCTAAAAGAAGCAGCCTTGAAATTACAGCACGTTGGCATAATGCCCCCTTGCCTGCGCCATTCCCCAAGTCCTCCCTCCATCTGCCCACCAACAAAACCCACAAACCCAGCTAATATCAGCTCTTGTCAGTATTAGCCATCACTTTGCAGAATGTATAAAATACCCGTTATTCTCCCACATGAGATGGGTTTGGGAAACTCTTTTTTTTGGTACCTGGAATCAAATTCAAGACCTTGCACTTGAGGCTGGAGATTTAGCGCAGCGGCACAGCACCTGCCTGGCAAGCGCGAGGTCGTGAGTTTGATTCCCGGTACCAGAAAAAACAAACAAAAAAAATAAAAAAGAAAAAAAAGACCTTGCACTTGCCAGGCAGGTGCTTATGCCAGAGCTATGTCCCTGGCCCTGGGAAATTCTTAAGAGATAAAAACAACTCATGGTAAGTGTAACAATACTCCCAATCATTCATTTACTCTCAGTGGAAAAAATCACCAGGTGAAGGACAGAACAACCCATACTTATTTGCTGATTGTTAAATATTCCTTGTTAGCAGACAACTGTCTTTAAAGGCTGCAGACATGTCTCTCTAAGCATGGATGGGACTTTCAAATCAAGTTACTATAGGAGACAGTAAAGGTAGTAACAAGCAAAGATGTATGAAAAATGGTCAATTATGTTCAGCTCCTGAGATAAGGAGCAAAAGTAAAAAAAAATTACTATAAGAATGAGAACTACAAAGAGAAGTTTCAATTGCTCAGAACTTGTTAAATCTTAGAACTGATAATTTTAAAATAGCAATAATATTTTAAACAATACCGAAGGCAATAGCAGAGTTTGGGATATTTTATTACGTCCAATTTTACTACTAAAATACCTTTTGCTAGAACCCAACTACTGTACTTTCATAAATGCTGGCTGTACCACACCACTGTGCTATTCTCCCCTTCAAGTCTAAGAGCTTCCCAGCTTACAAATGTCACATTCAGGGTTCAGTCATCATAACACTATTTTCATAAAGTTTTACTTTAATTGAGGTCGTTTCCTACTCTAAAAGTATATCTTCTAGGTGGAGAACTAGTGATAAGAGAGGTTACTTCTTCCACACGCAGGACAACCCGTAAGTTTGTGGTTACTGAAAAGTACACAGGGCAAAGTGTATACTTTTGTTCTTTTCAAAGCTATTGTTTGATAAGCCCATCATCTAAACAAATCACACCCAAGTAATACTTCACATACTGAGAAACACAGAAGTGAACACAAGGGGAAGTTAATGTAGATTTTGAACACAGACATCTTCAGAATAAGGTGTTTGATTCAGCAGCTATACCAGTCTCGTTGGGCTATTTATAAATATCAATTCCTTTAATACCCATAACATACATATATTTATTGTCTTTTTGAGACAGGGTTTCGCTATGCACTTCAGGTTGGCCTTGAACTCACTTCATAGCCAAAGCTGGCCTTGAACTCAGAGCAATCCTCCTGCCTCAGCCTCCCCAGTGCTGGGATTACAGACAGATTACAGATGTGAGCCACCACGCCTGGCTAATACTCATAACCTTATTAAGCACCATGGGTTGAACATCCCTAATCTCAAAGTCCAAAATGTGAAACACTTTGAGCTCTAAAAGATGCCATGGTGGAAAATCCCATGTCTGATGGACCAGGTTATAGTTAAAATGCAGGTACACTAAAAAACACTGTAAGCCAGGCATGGTGGTGCACATCTGTAATCACAGCACTCAGGAGGCTGAAGCAGGAAGATGGTTGTGAGTTCGAGGCCAGCCTGGGCTACAAAGTGAGCTCAAGGCCAGCCTGAACTGCATAGCGAGACCCTGTCTCAAAACAAAACAAAACAAAACAAAACAAAACACTACTGGACTAAAAAACATTGCATAAAAGTACCTTTGGGCTGTATGTACAATATGAGGTATGTATGAAACATAAATTTTGTGTTTAAATTGGATCCCATCATCAAGATATCTCATTTGTGTATACACAAGTAGTCAAAACAAAAGCAAAACAAAAAACCCCAAACCCCAAAACTCTGAAACCTCACTCTACTTTCTTTTTATTTTCTTCTGCCTTTTTGAGACAGGGTCTCACTATGCATTTCAGGCTGGTCTTGAGCTCACTTTGTAGCCCAGGCTGGCCATGAACTCCCAATGATCCTCCTGCCTCAGCCTCCTGAGTGCTGAAGATTATAGGCAGGCAGGCGCCACCACTTCCGGCATGACTCTACTTTCAAGCATTACAAAGGATATTCACCTTGTATTTTATCCTATTTTACAAATGAGAAAACTGACACAAAAAGGTTGATGTCTGCTAATATCTAAGTTCAAACCATGGCAACTGCCTTCCAACTATATGACTATTCTTAGCTACACTATCACTAACTAAAAACATCCTCCAAATATTAGCTTTTCAGCCTTTTAAAAAAACTTGTCCCAAAGTATCAAAAAGATAAGCACCAATACTCTTTGGGTGTGTATGGGAGTGGGGATTGAACCAGCACCCTTCCCCAGCCTTTTCTTAATTTTGAGACAGGGTCTTACTAAATTGCCTAGATGGGGCTTTAACTTTTGCTCCTCCTGCCTTGGCTTCCCAGAATGTGGGAATTACAGGTGTGTACTACTGTGCTTGGCAGCACCAACACTCTAGAAAGCAGATTTACTTGAAACTGTTCTGAGTAATGCTGAATAAACTGCTTGATAACTAGGAATCATCATGGCATACACCATGACAGCCAGCAATTCAGAAGCTAGATATTTCTCACCACTAGTAACACCACAACCCTAGGTCAGTTCTATCATTCTCTACTGGAAAATATGCAAGATTACTTTTATTGGACTCTATTTCTGACAACTGGTCAATTTAGGTACTTATACCTGAGTACTTCTTTATTTATAGAGTTAACTGTTCTAAAGGTCCACCCATTTACTAAAATTTAAGAAAATTAAGTAGGGTCAAAAACTCCTAACTACAGTGTTTGAGATTCTATTATTTAGGAACTGAATGAGAATTCAATATGCCCACACTGTATCTGAGAATATATTCATCCTGTTTGCTAACAGAGTAGTATCTTCCAAAGGATGCCTTACATGATAAAAGCTAACACATGTGCACCCCAGTAGCATGTTATGTAAATCACATTTTCTTCCTTCTAGAGTGTTGTCTTCAGGGGAAAAGTCCATTTTAGTATTTACTCTAAACAATACGCAATATTGCCAAAGACGTTCAAAGCGGAGAATCTGACACAGAATTCCTAACATGTACCAACTAGTTCAGACACAAATTTTTCTACACCACTGCTAAGTTTTCCTGTCAGTGGAACTTGCTACATGTAGCAGAGGTGCAAACACTTTTCTGCCACAAGAAAACAAAGGCAGTTATCTGTGGCAGTGTCTTCATTACTTCAGTGACAGCTAAGCCACTGAGAAATATTTCAAAGCCAACAAGAGTACAGCAAAATAAAAGCCAGACATTTGGTAAATGCTGAGAAAAGTAACAGTAACCTCATGAACAAAAATTTTCAGGCAAAATTTCACATAAGATAGATGCTGATACTTTGCAACCTATAGTGTGGTGGGAAAGAGAATACTACTATGTGTGGTGGATGAGGAAAAAATGTGCAAGTCTATTAGGAAAAAATTCCAGTAAGAAACACAGCAAAGGGATGACAGAAAAGTGACTGGGTATCAGGATGAAATACAGCTGGTGTACGCTAAGGCACTGCGTCCTGCAACGTCAGAGACGCCCATGTCACTGTACCCACAGCATCCGGGTGCTAGCGAGGGGGCAGAGTGCGGCTCTTTCACACCTGTGGTCAGGCGAGGGCTCCTACCTGTGCCCCTCTTTCGGACCTACATGCTCCCCTGTCTCCAGGGTTCAATACTCAGCTCAAGCCAATGGTACAGCAGAAGGAACTTGCAGTAAGACACTGATAGACTGGCAGATGAAATGCATCAAACAGAGAGAAAAGTTCTAATTCTTGTTAGCAATTTTTGCCAGGAAATAAAGGATCTACAGATGACTAGCTTAAAAAGGTTGGTATGTTTCTTTAAAAAAGTCAGTTGTAGTTAGAGCAAGTTTCTATTTAAAAAAAATTCAACAGTGATTGAGATAAAGAATGGCTTAGTTCTCTAGCATATACGTAGAAAGGGGTTAACTTCATTTGGATGTTGGCTTTTGAGAACAGAGTCTTGTTATATGTAGTTCAGGCTGGTGATCCTCCTGCCTCTGCCTCCTGAGTGTTGGGGTTACAGGTATGTACCACCATGCCTATTGATTTTTTTTTTAAAGGGAAAAGATAGTTATGGTAGGAAATGAGAAGATACCAAAATTGTCTAATACTGTAGCAGACTCTAGACTAATTCTAACATTTCTAGTTTTAAGCAGCCACGGAGGACGGGAAGAATGAAAACATATCCAGTGTAAGGTACTACAGAAGAGCACTAAAGAATTTATGGATAACAAATTGAGTGAAATATTTTGTTTGGGAAGTTGACAAAGTTAGTTCTTAATATAGATCACAGTTTTCCTTACCCATGTGTAAAACAAAGTCACCGCTTCCTTCTTCCAAGGCATACAAAGAAACAAGTATGATGTCTAGCTATGCAGGGACTTGATTCCTCTTGTACCGCAGGTTTGACATGTGTCCCGGACCCATGATTAACTTAGTTTCTATTGTTATCCTTAAGTGTGCCTGACACCCTTGACCTTCCATCAGTCAGTATCTATATCAAATATAGCCGGGTGTGACAGAGCATGGCCATAATCCCAGCACTCAGGAGGCTGAAGCAGGACTATTTTTAGTTTTTGTTTTTTGGTTTTTC